TTTAACATCCGACCTATAGCTATTTACTTGATCCTTAACGTTTGATGATTCATCTCAAATCATAATGTAACATTTATGATATATTATCAAATGATGAAGTGTATTTTTATTTAAATCATTTCAAAATGCTTTACAAAATAGACCTCACCACTTCTTTTTTGGTAATCTAAGAATTAAACGAAAAAAGTGTCACAAATCTTCTACATATTAATTCCAAAAAAAAAAACAACTTACTTATTTTTTTTCAGATTCTACGAATTGGTTAAGAGGTCCTTTTATTTAATACAATAGTGATTACATATAAATTTTTTAATCATCCACTTATACAAATACATAAATTTTTTAATCATGCAAAATTTGGAAATAATTTGAACTATTCAAAATAAAAACAAATCAATAGTTACATTAATAATAAAAATAATTTTTATGTTAATAATAAAAAATACTACTAATATAACGATACTCACTTATTTTATTTTCATGCAATATATTAATAAAAATCTACTCACTGCCCCTAAAAAAACTGCTTTGATGACAATGGACAGGGAGGCTGTTCGTGACCTCATACTAAAGTAGATATAACTAATAATAGAAGCAAATAATAGTGGTTAAATAAGTACAAGCTTCGCATCAATTTTGTCTTCCATCAAATACTTGACAATTATATAAAAAGATTACAAATAATATTGTAGCTTTGTTGTTACTATATCTGAATTTTAATATAAGATCCAGTTAATTAATTTGGAAAAATTAAAAAAATTATTAGATTATTTTAAATTATTTATATTTATTATTTTTCTCTAAACTAATTTGCCTTACTTATAAATCGATACATAATCTAATAATCCACATAAGTATTTTAAAGAAATCTTATTAACTAATTTAATAATTTTCTTAATCTTTTCAAATTAGTTAACTGAGTTTATATTAAAGGAGTAGTGGTAATGTATTTTAATAATAATACGATAACATCACAAGTATGTAATATGATATTATGATTCTATGATATAACTAATGATCAAACTTTGATCCTTCTTGGCGGTCCATCATCGAAGTCCATTGAATAAGAATCATATGACTGGATTGGTATAAACCAGCTGTGTGCTAATGGAATTTTATTGATAAAAAAGTAAGCATCTTAGATTTGCAAGTAATTCTATATTAATTAATAATTGCAATAATTAAAGTTTAATTTCTTCTTCTTCTCTTTTAAAAAAGAAAACCTATATAATTTATTTTGTATAATCTATAAACTGTGAAAAGAAACTTCAACAGATTTGTGCTTTCAAACGAATCTAATTAAAGCTTTAATAAAGCTCATTCACTTTGTATATTTTATTGCAATAATAAAATAATGACAACGGCACCAAGCCACCTGATAAATCTGCATGTTAGATGGTTTGTAGTTTTCCAATCATAACATTTATGAATAGTTTAATACTGTTCAAAGCAACGGTACTATTTATCTTTCTTGACGTATGTAACTTTCCATATAATTTACACTTTATACTTATGATTCAATGTAGAATATATATTATCTTGGTAAAAAAAAATATAGAATATATTAAAGTATAAGGAATTACACTATTATATAAGATGTGAACAGCACAATTGAGTTCAAATGGGACCTGAGAAGGGACAAACACACCCAATCATATCTTCAAAAGCACAGAGATTTTCAGGATTTGCATATAAAAAGAAAAATTGCCAATTAGACAAAATGATATACTTCCTTCAATCTAAAATATAAGATGTTTTGTCTAGTTAAAAATATAAGCCTCGTTTGATGATATCTAAAGCATTAAATGTTTTCTTTTCCTTGATTTAGCTTAATGTAGCAAACTATATGAAGTCTTCAGATGCAAATTTTCCAAGGAAAAAAGACAAAAAAGTGTTCAAGAATTTACACTTGACGAGTTCAAAAAAGAATGATTGGTTACCTCTGCTTTAATTTCTTCCCACAACACTCTTTTTTCCTTTCACTTTTACTTTTCCACGCTGAGAATGAGCGAAGAAGAAACAAGAATGGACGCATCAATTGTTGAACTTTGGATTCGCTCTTTACATCTTTTTCAAACAGCCAATGACTGTAAACAACGAGTCAATCCTATAATCACTTGACCAATGTAATACAGTAACTCTGATCTTTGATATAAAACCTTATTTGAATTTTATTTTAGTCCTAAATATAAAACCTCAATCCATTTGTCTTTCATATTTGTTCTTTTTTTTTTCAAGTTAATCCTTGTAATAATGATAGTTCTAATCAATACATTTGATTAAGAGGAATATTTTATGAAAGATAACATCCATTTATTATATATAACTAACTTAGCTAGTTTTTTTTAATATACTCAAATTAGTTAACTAGCTTTTATATTAAGGACCGGAGGTAGTACTACCTCTAATTATTTTTATAAGATTAAGATTTTTTAATTAATCCAGTCTTTTTTATAAGATTCAATTTAAAGGTATATAAACATTAAATATTTTTTTATCAATTTTATCTGTAATTAATTATATTATTTTTTACATACGTTTTCTTTCATTTGTTTTCTCATTATTTCTTCCTCTCACTTTCCTCTTATACATAAATGCATATTTGAAAAAAGAAAAAAGCATATTCGTTACAAGTTATATAATTATTTCAACTAATGTAAACAAATTTCTTACATCACACATTTTGATTATTTGGACCTTATGAAACTAATAGGAAGTAATATATACACAGAGAGAGCGAGAGTCCATTGTTTTTGTAAAACCAGATAGAAATTAAGAAGCCGCTCTAATCAATCAAAAACATATTAGTCTAACTATGTTTTGAATTGGTTTAATTAAAATAAGAAGAAAATCATTTTAGATCTATAAAGATTATTTTTATTTCATTCTTTCTTGTTATTTATCAAAATAGTTAATTATTTATAGTATTTATCAAGCCTTCACGTATACAATGGGCAGGGGACCACAGGACAGGACCACATGTAGTTTTACTTTTGTCGTCTATAAACCATATCTGGCCAACTTATTTTTTTGCAGGGACCTAGTGTCTTCAAAGCTATAATCCTCAATTATCAAAGGGGGGGCCCCAAAAATTGGAGAAGTTTTAGGATATTTTTAACTATACACACGTGAGTTCATATCTTTTATGATGATGGTTCGTTGTGTTTTACTCCTACTTCTGCCTCTGGGACATACTTTGTTTTTATTTCTGGGACATATTTTTATAATCATCAACTCATGATAGTGCTCTTTCCTAGTTTTTCCTTCTTATTCACCGCAATAAACGGATTCTGATGGAAGATTCTTAAATTCTCAGAATTTACTTCACAATATATGCTTCCTTTGGATAGAGAGTAAAGAGGATATTAAGAGAAAAAGAAGGGATGGTTTTGTTTATTTTAATTTTTAGACTTACAAATAAGAAAGTTACATTGTTTGATCTATTGATGGTTAAAGTATACGTCTAGTTTATTAACTTTATACAATCTTTCAATTTAATTTATTAATTTTAAAAAGTATACTTTTAGTCTTTTAACTTTAAAATTGTTAACAAAAAATAATGACGTTGAGATTTTAGATATTAATAAAATATTTTATATATAAAATATTCTCAAATACTAATATGTTAATTTAATTTTCAAAATAATCATAATTGTTATAAAAAAACACATGATTTAGGGTAACAATTTTAGAGTTAAAGAAACAAAAATATACTTTTAAGAGTTAAGAGACTAAATTAAAATATTGTATAAAATTAAAAAATCAAATGTATATTTTAGCCAGCTATTGATTGTATAGGTAATTTATTGTAAATTTTATATTTTCTATGAAAAATTAATACTCCTCCGGTCCTTAATATAGGACCTAATTCTTGAGTTGGTTTTGGTCCTAAATATAAGACCCCTTTCTCATATTTATCAATTTTCTCTAAATTACCCCTATGGATACTCTCTCAACCATAATCAAGTAAAAGAGGGAGAGAGGGTATTAAGAAAGATGATTATGGTATTTTAGGAAAAACATGTCACATTTTTTTATAATTAACTAACTTACCTAACTTCCTTAATCTAATCAAATTAGTTAAATGGGTCTTATATTAAGGACCGGAAAAGTATGATGGTTCTTATTGTTTCACATAATTTTCAATCAGGTTTAATTTTTTTTCTTTTTTATCATGTTCTTAGATTTTTACCAAATTTTAATAAGGTCCTTGTAATTTCATGTGCGGGAAAAAACTACAAAAAGCTTATTACAGATTAGATGAAACTATCGAAACCTAATGAAAAAAATGAGGACTTAATTAAAATTAAGTAAAATTATAAGTACATGATAAAAAGAGAAAAATAAAAAAACTTGATTAAAAAATCCATACAAATTAATTTTTGCAATTATATTCAATGGCAATGTCCTTTTAAACCATTTTCTTACTTTTTCCTGGGTCAACTTAACCCATTTAGTAACCAGTCTTATTCTTCTATGACATATTTTATATTTTTCTTTCTTACACAATTATATCAAAATAATTTCAAATATCTTGCGGGAAACGTTAGATATGGCTCAGGGATTTGGACACCAAAATTTTCATGTGCGTTGCACAAAGTTTAGAAAATAAACAATTTTTTATATATAGCCTTTAATTATTATTAAATTGCTTTGAAGATACTATTGAAGAATATTTAAACGATATTTTTAATAAATTTTTAATTTATAAGGTATATATTGGTACTCCAAACTCAATTGTTTTCTTCGTCTTTTTCCTTTTCCAAAAACGAACCTCTACGGCTCTACTTTAATATCTTAAGACAAAATACATCTAAATGCTTCCTCCCTTTGTTTTTACACTAGCAGCTTTTTTTCCCCTCTTTTTTTAATCTATATTCCCGCAACAACTAAGCCATCTTTGTCTCGTAGTTATGATTGAAAACTCCTTGTCCCAACTACACATGGAAACGATGTGTGTGTATATACACACACACATGTTATATACACACCACTAGTTCACCAGAGGTTCTTGATAAACTTTGCAACATCATCTTCTCAGCCATGAAGCTTCGTCTCAACGAAATTCTTCACCATGTTCATATCAAAAGAGCTCTTCTGATTCCATTCTTTCTGTTTCTAGTTCTGATCCCTCTTCCTTTCATTAAGAACTACTCACACCAGTCTTCTTCTTCTTCCTCCTCCTCTTCCTCTGAGATGAGAAAAACCAGTAGTGATTTGCAGAAAAGCAGCAGTGATGAGATGATGATGAAGAGATGCGATGTGTTTTCTGGGAAATGGGTTCCAAATCCAAGAGGGCCTTATTACGATGATCGAACGTGTAATTCAATAATAGATCAGCAAAACTGCATCAAGTCTGGGAGACCTGACAGAGAGTATCTGAAATGGAGATGGAGACCTGATGAATGTGAGCTTCCATTGTTTAATGCAGCTCTGTTCTTGAAGCTTGTCAGAGGAAAATCCATGGCTTTTGTTGGAGACTCAGTGGGAAGGAACCAGATGGAGTCTTTGTTGTGCCTCATAAGCAGAGTAAGTCAAAATTTTCAACTTAATTAATGATTACACATTATGAGGATTTGGATTCAGTAACAGAGCCAGCCATATGGATTCTTCGTTTAATTGGAAACAGACGCCTATGATTGACTCTTAGTGCGTCTAATTTAATGGTTGAGATCTACTTTATGCATAAATGTGATAGAAGATGTACTTGCATGAAATGGATACTAGCCATTGTAACTTATAAACCGGACTTGGGTTTAGCAGAAGAGGCTAATTCTTCATAATATAAAGAACTAATGTTTGAATCCCCGTCAAAAGAGACGCCCACATTTAATGCCTAATAATGCTTCTAATATAAAGATAATTGCGCTTAGGGGGGGGGGATTCATATGGGATAAAGTGAGCTTCCAAAATCTGAGAATGCTCTTTCCTCTCTCTAAATTCTAAAGTTTTCAATTGGAGAAATTTTGGGCAAGTGGGCCCACAAAGGAGAAATTTTGGAAAAGAAAATTTCCCAACTGGAAATGAGTTTTCCTACTCATAACTTTTGAAAATTATAATTTATGATAAATTTTATGTTCGATTTTAATTTTGATAATGAGGGGAAGTAAAATCTCTGTGTGTGTGTGAGAGAGAGAGTGAGAATTCCTTACCTTCTCCTCCCCTCATCACTCCTAATTCACCCTTTGTGTCTAAATGAACTCATCAGTTTATTTCTTGTAGTCGTGGCTTTTTGTTTTTTTAACTTATTATTTCAATCTTGCTTGTTTTGGAAACCTGTTTGCTAAAGTAAAAGTGGGGTAAAGGGGTGAGATACTTAGTTTGACCAAATCTTCTGATAATTTTGTTTTTCATTTACCAATATCATCTTAATCTGACCCATCTTTCAAAATGTACGACTTACTTTAGATTATTACACGGTTGGATAACAATACAATTTTATTTTACATTTTAAGTTATGTTTCTGTCCCCAAAAGAAATTAAACAAGCGATGCTTTGATTTTCTACCAAATTTAGAGTCCCACAATAATAGTTCATAATTTTCGGCCTCAGTAACAAAATTTGACAGAGCTAATACTAATGAAATTTTAAAGTTAAAAATTAAAATTATTTTTTCAGAATGATCAAAACATTGTTACAAAAGTTCAAATTTTAAAAATTATTAAAAAAAAAACGCAGCACTCTTTTAGCCTGTCATTTGTAAAGTTATCATCTCACCCAGAGAAGTAGAAATATCAACCCTAAAAATAATTTTATTCTTTTCAGGTGGCGCACCCTGAGGATATTTCCCTGAGGGAAACATCAGACACAAGATATTTCAGAAGATACTTCTATGCTAAATACAATTTCACTCTCACAGTTCTGTGGGCCCCATATCTGGTGACCACGAGAGATGCTAAAGACACAGTTCATTCTTACAACAGCCTCATGAACCTGTATTTAGATGAGCCAGATAAAGCTTGGGCCAATGAGATCAAAACTTACAACTATGTCATCTTCTCAGCTGGCCACTGGTTCTTTCGTCCAATACTTTACCATGAAAAAGGTCACATAGTTGGATGTACCAGCTGCAACATGAACAACATAACAGACCTAACAAGCTATTATGGCTACAAAATGGCATTCAGAACAGCATTTAGGACACTTCTGAACCTTGAAGGCTATGAGGGGGTGACTATTTTGAGGACATTTTCTCCTCCTCACTTCGAGAACGGCCAGTGGAACACAGGAGGGAGTTGTCCGAGGACAAAGCCGTTTAAGGAGGGGGAGGTGAAGCTAGAGTGGTATGCTCAGGAAATGTATTTGAGTCAGGTGGTGGAGTTTAGAGCAGCAGAGAGAGAAGGGAGAAAGAAGGGTTTGAGGTTTTGGTTGATGGACATAACTGAGTTGATGTTAATGAGACCTGATGGGCATCCTAGCAAGTATGGACGTTCAAGGGATAACAATGTGACTGTTAATGACTGTGTTCACTGGTGTGTGCCTGGCCCTGTTGATACGTGGAATGAGTTTTTGCTCTATATCATGAGAATGGACAGTCTGAAATCCTCCTCTAGTTCAATGTTGTAGATATTTTTAAACAAGATTAAGTTCTAAAATGTGAGATATATTCCGTTTTGTTCTCAACCAGTTTTAGGCTGAATTGGTTTTTTTTTGGGGGGGGGGGGGAATAGTATTCTCTGTTCTTCATGTTGGATTCTGGAACATAATGCCAAGAAATATATATATATCATAGTATATCTTATGTGATCAGTTGTAATGTTTTGATCTTTGACATACCTATCTTATATGCCCCTGCCGTGATGGCAGGGATTGAACTCATTTGGCTGTAGGAAGTTGGAAGGAGAAGGGAAGAGAAAACATCCAAGGAAAATGGAAAGGGACAGGAAGGTTAAATGATAATTGCCTACTTGAAACCTTCCCTTCCCTTACCTTCCCTTTTATTATCACCCTTCCAAGCAGAATATTGATCGAACAATCATCTGGAGGGCAACAGTGGCATCAGTTGATATTGATCGAACACTAAATCGCGGGGCTAGGAATTTCTGATGCCATGCTCACAAATAGAGCAATGGCCTAGTGAGACATAACAAGGTGCCACAATGACAATCTTGCTCTTGTCAGGTCACCCCTAAAAGATGTTGGATAGGGAGGAAATTAGGGAAATAGAAGCTTTCCCTCATAATATTCGCTCCTCCCAATAAAGCACAATTTTATAGCATGTAAAACATCAACATTGGCACCCTGACATCATGTGTTCAACGTGTACAGACAGATGAGAACAACACACATACACTGAGGTCTCCACAGGGAAAGGAGAAAACAATTCAGCAATTCCAGTCACTAAATAAATAAGGAAGATAATGTTGGTGAAGCTTTCGCAAGTCATAAGCAATATTAATCACTTGATTAGCATCTTCTTCGTGTTCAAGTACTTACATTTCTTATGAGCCAGTGTTCCATGATCAAAATAGTACGTACAGGCTAAAGAAGCATCTCTATTACAACCCAAGGTATGACCATGTACAGTGAAAAGAATGATACATTTAGCTGACTTTCTAAGAATTTGTATATGTATAATTAATTTCTCCCCGGCAATCAAAATGATATCTTGATAAATACAATTACGTGTAAAGCTAAAATGTAGAGCACAAATGCCGACCTGATCAGCATTATCCTCTGTTGGCTTTCATTTCTGCCATCAGAATAGTAAGGAAGCTTATGATGACCATCACCATCATAATCTAACAGAGTATGTCCCTTGTCAGATGAGCTTCTACCAAATCGATTTCTAGCTGCATTGGCCTCAGTGATATTGCTTTCCATTCTTCGCCATTGCCCATTCAGTCTTTCCAGCTCCATCTCTTTCAGATGAATTTCACTAAGTAGGCCCTCAGCTTGAGCCTAAAAGCAAGAAAGGAAGGCAGTTTATTAAACACATATGCAAAGATTCGATATAACAGTTCTGCAATACACAAATAATGGAGTGTTTATGGAGAATGAAGCATGAAAAAAGGACCTGTTTTGCTGCTAGTTGCTCCATTAGACTGTGAAGCTGTTTATCCAATGCCTTCTCTCTTTGAGCTGGATATTAAGGGGAAAAAGAAAACGGGAAGAAAACTGATTGATGCCAATATATTTAATGCAAAGTATCACTCAAATGAAACTACTGCGAATGTAGTACATAAGTACAATATTGAGAACATCCATATCCAAGCATGCAAAGAATATCAACAATGATCCACCATAGAAGAAAGCACCCAATACTATTATTTTTTGAGTTTTTCATAACAAAATGAAAGCCAAGAGAGGATGGCATATAAATAGAATTGATTAGATCAACTAGATGTCCATATATCCTTAAAAAGACTCATATGACTCTTAAATAAATTGATGAATGACTAGTGGAGAGGGAAAGAAGATATACCAGGGGAAGGGTGCTTAAGAGCATTTTCCTGCATTTCGGTCCATTTTTTCTCTAATTTTCGTACAATTTCTTCCATTGAACTCTGAATGAATTATGTAACTATTTGTTAACAATAATAACTCCCTATTAAATAATAATATAATGGAAATGGACTTAAGAAAGCAACTTATGATTAAAACCATAACAGACCAATTCTTTGTTCTTCTCTTCTAACTTGTTTAGCATAGCAGAATCTGATGCATCTGCATCTGTGCCAGCTTCAGGCTTTATGTTGGATTCTTCCTTCCAGCCATGCGATCTCACAGATTGATCAGTATCTAGAGAATTTTGACGTTTTAAATTATCCAGCTCAGCTTTCAGATTCTTCTCAGTTTCATCCATTTCCTGAAGCACAGGAAAAAGAGAAAGAAAAAAAAAACAAGAAAATATCAAAACCAAATATATTTTGCACTGAGTATGAAGCATGAACATGTTGGCAAAACATCCATGTCCATGTCTAGCATACATGGATATTTGTGCAAGACATGATACGACATTTCAAACAGGTATAAAGGCCAGTGACCATGCTTCTCAGCAAAGTTCCTACACAATTTCATTTGAGGGAGAAAAAAGCATAAAATACAAATCATAATATATATGATGACAAAATTACTAACTATATCTCATAATTGATCCTGCCTTCTCTGGAGAGGTTGAGATTAATGCATATCTAGCATATCACTTCTTAACAATAGGCTTCAGGTTTCCATCACAATCTTAGGACAGAATGACGCCACCAATAAAGACAATAATAGAGCCTTTGCCAAAGAAGCTTGTATAAATAAACCTGCAATTCTCACCTCTAACTTCCTCCGTAGTAAATCTGCCTCGTGCACTTTTTCTTGCATTTTATTCTCACAGTTTGATATTGCCCTTTCAAAATCAGCATTTTCTGCCTGCAGTGTTGCCTCTCTTAATTGGGCCTGCCACATTGCCAAAATGCTAATGAGAAAGTTGAATCTACCAGTCACTTACAAGAAACTTTGTGAAGTTTTCTGCCAATAATTTGCAAACAGTATTAACAATAAATTCTCTCTCCAAGTGGCACAAAATTTTTGCAACATCACGAATGGTGGCGTCCGTCCATAAAATGTCATGTTTTTGTCCTTTTCTTTTCAAGAAATTGTAATATGCAAACTGAAAATAAAAACAGTTACTACTCTACGCTGATTCGCAGATGTCAAATGCATGAAAGATAACAAGATTCAAAGTATTATTATCATAATTACCACCCAAGTTGTCCACATGCCAAATAATTATCAATCACACCTAGAGTCTCTTGATTCTCCGACAATGGCAGAAGAAAACCTTAATAGCAATGTTATGGTCACAATCATAACATAGAAATCTGTCGATTCCCCATCAGTGCTAGTCTAGGATCTGTGACGAGGAGATACCCCTAGTTTATAAAATCTGAAATAACTTGTTCAACGAGAACCAAACCAAACGACACTGAACGAAACTCATCAGTCCAATTGCCCACACAAACAAGATTAACTATACAATATGGTTGGCGCACAAAAATACCCTACCACACCACAATAAAATCAAGATTCAATTAGTGTTGGTTCAAATCAAACCCGAGATTTCTAACCATACATATATAAACAAGACATAATCTAACTCGTTTGCTAATGAATCAGACAAGACACAAAGGAAAGAAATCTTTAATTCACAGAATAAACGAACACATTACAAAAAGCAAATGAGTATGAGACGAACTTGTTCCCGAGTCGTCGAATGGGCATTTAATTGACGGGCAAGAGCGGCATTGGAAGCAAGGGTGTGAGCGTGTAAGTGAGGGAGGCTCTGGGAGATGTCAGGAGGAGGAAGTCTCTGACGTAGATCCTGGATCAAACGGGTGAGAGATGCTGCCTTCTGATCCAATTCCCTAACGTACTTTTGCTGTTCCGGCGAGAACAGTAGTGGGATCCGATTTAACGCATCGCCTCCGTCGCTGTCGACGCCACCGCCTCCGACGACGTCCGCTGCCCATGCTAATAAACCAGCCATGGATAAGTCTGGTAAACTTGTGAGTCGCCCAGGACAGAGAATGAAAGATTCCAAATGAAAAGGCCATCAAAGTCGTTGAATTATGGTCATGCTTCATTTTCAACTAATTTAATTTAATGTCGTATAAACTCAAAAATAATTATCAAAATTAATTTTCAGAAACATTGTTAAAAGAACATAACTTAGAGGCCCAATAGAAGTGGGCCCCAAAAAAGTCCGAGAAACACTAAAAATACAAGGCATGCCAATTAGCTAAAGCATGACTTGGCCCAAAGCAAATGAAACAATTCCCGTTGACAAAGGGAATTAAGTCTAGCATAAGGGATTAGTCCCTCACAACATGACAAACTAAGGTTTGAATCCCTGTTAGGAGAGGTGCCCATATTTAATGCCCGACAGTATCTCGAACAAGATTGCCTCCAATAAGAGGGCACCTATGCTTTAGCCCAAAAAAAAAATTAAAAATTAAAAGGACACAACACCAAGGGGATTAAGTTTAAAGGGAAAAGCTAGTTCCTCACAGCATAACAAATTAAGATACAAATTTTAACTGAAAGAGATGTCTACATTTCGTACTAGATAGTGTCTTGAACAAGAAAAGAGAAGACCAACACCTATCAAATGAAAAAGGGGACAAAATTCCAAACTTCTAGGCTACCTAACATAACTAATTTTAATTATAGTTGTATTAATTACCAATATATTTATTAAAATTCATTTTTATCATGTTTATTTTTTCTAGAATTATATTTATTTCATTATCTAATGGCTTTCGCAGTTAGCAAAAAAATCACCCTTACTTGTATATGAAATTGAATGAAACTTTTGATTCCTCAAGCTAAGTATGTCTCAATTATCAATTTAGTCATTGAAGTTTAATTTTTATCAATTAAATTTATAAAATTTTATAATCATTTAAAATTAGTTATTATAGTTTGAACACACAAAATTCTAGGTTGACAAAAAAAAAACAGAGAAGACATAAAATTCTAGACACAAGAATGTGTAACTTTTAACTCGAGAAAAGACTACTAATATGAAATTTGGAAGGAAAAAAAATAAGAATATGAAATTGTATAATTCTTTTGGCCAAAAAATATGAAATTGCATATGAAACTTTAAAGACTCAATTAATAATTAAACCTCAAAAACCAATAATATTAATAATTAAGGTAAACTTGAGGAACTAAAAAAAATTATTATCCCCATGAAATTAAAACATTTTAACTAGTTACAGTAATATTGTACTATTCTATCTCAAAACCGAACGTAT